AGAGCTTCTCCCCATTGTCGCAAGGTATCAACTTAGAAAATGAATCCTTGTTGCAACATATTCAGAGATCACAACACATATATCCAAGTCCTTTATGTTCTTGACAATTCCTTTTACAATATTTTCCTCGTGAGCCTTGACTTTCTTTAGTTGTCTGGATTCAATAGACTTATACCCTATTTTTTCACAATTGTTGCACTTTCCCTGGAACTTTTCTCTCTTAGAAATTTCACATTTAGGTCCTAGCTTTGACCTATTATTGGGATGTTTTCCCTTCTTGAAGTCCATGACTTCAACCATGTTTGCCTTAACCTCCTTGAAGAATTCTTTATTGATCTTTTTTAACATTAACTCTATTGTCCTCTTCAATGCGAAGTCTGACAATAAGTTCATTCACGATCATATCCTTCCTCTTATGCTTCAGGTAATTCTTGAAGTCATTCCATCTGGGAGGTAGCTTCTCAATAATAGCTATCACCTGGAATAATTTGCTTTTGACCATATTTTCAGCGAGAATTTCTTTAATAATCAGTTGTAATTCCTTCACTTGTTTTACTACTGGTTTGGAATCATTCATAGCATGCTTCAAGAACTTGGCAACTAAAAACTTTTTAGTTCCAACATCTTTGGATTGATATTTGTCGTCCAATGTCTTCCTCAATTTCTTTGCCATTTGATATGTAGAATAAACTGGATACAGTGAATCATGTAAACAATTCAAGATATAATTCTAGAATATGAAATTAGAATGCTTCCAAGCTTCAACCATATTAAAGGCGGTGACATTATCCACCTCTCCATCTCCTTCTCCTTCTCCTTCTCATTCTTTAAAGGCAAGAGGATATTCCTTTAGGAACTTAGCATAGTTCACCATGGTTAGATAAAACCACATCTTTTGTTGTCATATCATGAAATTTTCCCCACAAAAATTTGATGGCCTCTAGCTGTAGTTAACTGCCACTGTTGATTGATTCGTATTCATATTTTAAACCTGAATTATCATTCTAGTATCTGAGTTGGGCAACCTATTAGAATTTGTTACTTCTGTTGTTTGTAAAAAAAATAGAAACAGAATTAGTAACCAATGTTATTACACTGATAATTTTGTTAAAACAGATTTGTCCACTATATGCAAACCCGTTAAAACGGTAGAATAATTCCTGAAAACAAATTAATTTGCTTCGATTTTTACAAGTTTTTTAATAGTCTCGGATATGTTTTAAGAAAGGTAGAAAAAGAATATGTTTTAAGATTGTTACATAATAACAATCCGAAACCAAAATAAAAATAAAATAATATTTTATTAATAAAGAAAAAAATATGTTTTAGTATAGAGAACCTGAATATTGGCAGAATATCAAACTTGATTAGACTATATTCGTGAACTGCAAGTCATTAATTAGTATCTGAATAAAATAAAAAATAATTAATTAATACCGCCTTAATTTCCTTTTTAATTCAAAATATTCAGAATATTTAATTTGTAGTGGTTAAAATATATGAGGCCTCAGATTGCCCGATTGGTCTAGACATTAACGTCGCCCACATCATGCGGGTGTGCCCCTAACCCTAAAAGGTTCGACGAGCTTTCATTAGCAGCCCTTGCGCCTGCGCACAAGGCATAGTTTCAACCCAAGGCATTCAATGACAAGCAAGTTGGTTTGTGTAATAAACCATTTCCTTACTTGATATCCCACCAATGTGGGATATGGGTTTTCTCATTTTCCTTACATAACACAATTCACATATATCATACTTTGAGCATCAATTTCTCATTCATCACTTAACCGTTTCAAGCATATGAGATACCGTTGTAAAGATCTCACGGAGTAGAATATGAATCAATAAATTTATTATTCGATTCTCCATCTTTACACTCAGAAAATATGCCTCAAAGTTTTCAATTTGTTACATTTTCCCAACAATTTGTGTAGTCATTTTTTGTTGTTAAATGACATTAAGCGCGTTCATTTATCGATTAATAGTGGCCATAAGGCCTCACATTGCCTAGAAAAATTCATCATTTTTTACCATTATGAAAAGTCACAACACTCAAAAGAATAATGCAAAGTGAAAAATGAATAAAAGAAATAAGAAACCTCACTATTCACTTAAGGAAGTAATACACCAAGAGACAAGTAAGTCGATCTTGTATTTTTTAAAATTCTGTTACCAAGAAGTCTCACAATGTTCGTGTCGGAGTTCAATCTCTAACAAAGATGAAAAAAATAACTTAGAAAGAAGTCAAACAAAAGTTATGACTCCAATTGAACGATAATGCAAGGAAGAAGAAGTATGCTAACTATTTTAATCTTACTAACACAAGAAAAACAATGTGTTAGATGATGTAAAGAAACAAAAAAGAGAAACAAAAGAATCTAAAGTAATAAAAAAGTAGAAAAACATAACCCAAAAACCTAGAAAACGCAAGATCAACTTGGGCAATGTGTTTGAAAGGGTGTTCGATATTCAAATGACCTAAATTTTTTGTGGAGGTCGGTATTTTAGTTTAGAAACAACATGTAAATTTTTAGCCTAAAATACCTGTAGTAGTAACTTGTAGAAATTCTTGAATGGAGAAACTATGTTTCTGTCAGTTTTCATTTATCAACACGTTTGAAGGGGTTTTTGAATTTAAAATGACCTTATTTTTAATGGAAGTTTATCTTGTGGTGGGGAATATTCTTGTATAATTTGAACTCAAAATTCATTCCATAGAATTTTCTAGAAAATTTTCAATGAAGAATTCTAACTTTGCTGAACAAATCCGAACAACACTTTTGAGGGGCATGTTAATGTTCGATTAACCTATTTTTTTTATTGAAGATCACTATTGAGATGAAGAATGTACCTATAAAAAATCAGCTTCAAATTCCTTCGTTTTTGTTTTGTGATTTTTTTTTACTTTTTTTCTTTTTTGGATGCAAAGGAGCAAACTAAAAAGAAATGATTGAAATAAAATTAAAAAATACAAAAAGAACTTGAAAACGATCAATCGTTGCGAACTAGTTCCGTTGGGATACCTTGAAGTTGATGTGTGTAAGAACAAGCAAGATTGAAGAACCGATTCAAATATGATACCAATTGATATGGGATAACAACAGAGTGATGAACATTGTTCATAGGTGAAGAATCAAGACTCGAGGTCTAAACTCAATCAAAGAACGAGAAAGATGATATATTAGATTATTGTCGGAATATGAGGTTTTGAATGTGGAATAAAGTTGCTAGAAAATTAAGATAAGAACACAAGATTAAGATTAAGACAATAAATATAAAAAATAAAAAAGATAAACAAATACAATGAATAAATAAATATAGGAATACTTAGCCAAAATTAGGCTTTTGGTGGTGATGGGCGATAATGGTGATTTGATGATAATCATGGTGGTGATTGATAGATAGTTGTCCTACGAAGCCTCCTAGCCGTAATTGATTAGGTAAACTCGATAATCGACTCTAATCAGCCCTCTTAATCGTAACGAGAAGGCAAAATGAAGTGTGAAGATCTCATTCACGAAGAACTTGAAGAACTTAATGATGAACAATGCTTCGAAGTCACAAGACAATCATCACTTGCAAAAACATTCTCACGTTGTATTATTAATCCAAAGAAATCTAGTTTACAATGGTGAATGGAGCCTCCTTTACATAGGATGAGGAGTTCCATGAATCTAAGTAATTATTGAATAAAATAATAATAAATTGAAGATAATATTTTTGATTCTATCCTAATTCTTAATAAAATAATAATAAACTAAAAATAATGTTTTAACTCTATCTTACTTCCTAATAAAATAATAAATCTAATATTAAAAGATAATGCATCATTATATATTAAATTATATTACAAATGATCAATAAAAATACTGATAATTCGTAATATTTACAAGTCTACTGTTGTTTTAGTCTTCTTTTCGAAGACACGTCGTATCTCTAGAAGACACGTCGACCCAATAACACATGCATCCCATTCAAAAGTCATCACAAGTCTACTGTTGTTTTGGTCTTCTTTTTAAAGGCTTGGACGTGTAGATCAATTGAAATAGGTAATTCATCTTCCTTTGATGTGAGTTTTATGGTGCATGTATCATCATCTCTCGCTCTCTTAAAAAAGAATCGACCTCGAATCTGAAACATCAAAGGGATAAACGATAGAACCTTTGAATGATTTGCTCACATTATACTTACCGAATAGATATGCTTTGAATCTTCGAGACTTTGTTCTTCTAATAGGTTCAAATAGAAATATTAGTCCAAAGATGAATGAATTATCATTATGAACTCTGAAGCATGTATCACTAAGGTAGTGGATGTGTACTTGATTTAGAAGTTGAGTCACTCTAAAATCGTTTTGTAAAAGTTGTATTTTCGATTGCCTCCTTCACAAATTTTCAATGCTAATTTATTCTTTAGATATATGATACTTGAAGCATATATCACTAAGGTAGTGGATGTATACTTAATAAATTGACATATTTATGCCTTAGGTATCCATATTATTCTTCAAGTACTGAAATTACCTATAATCCAAAATTTGAATTTAGCGCACAAAATTATCCTCAAATATGTTAAGGTTTCATGTCACTTTAAGAAAACCAAATTTTAATTACTTCACATTCAAACTTAAAATTCTCTCAATTTTCTTAGTTAAATTTCTCTATTAGACTTTCATTGGAAAGCATAGATCCTAATCTACAAATTGAATCAATTACCATAAAAATACATTATGAAAAACTCAATTTACATTCTTTTAAAATCAGCTTAAAAACACAATCCCAAACTCTCATTTTACTTTTAAAAACTTCATCAAGACCGCTTCCCTTTTACCCATAACGATCCGTGCCTTATCCAAATTCATGATCTCAACCGTTGATAAGATGTGAATCCAACGTTCAATATTTAAACTTTTGGATCATAACCTATCTCCGTCTCTTCCTTTTCCACCAATCAGCGTTCTCCATTTTCCTTATAAATCTCCCTCCCTTAACTACACGTTAGCAAAACCAACATAATCTGAAAAAACAAAGGAATCCAAATTTGTTACGGCTCGTACGATCTTTTAGAAGAATAATGGTCCCCGCCACGGCCTCCGCCGTTGCTCCCGCCGTGAAGAAGAAAACTGCTGGCGCTAAGAAGCCGAAGGCCGCTGCTTCTCATCCTCCGTTTCTTACTGTATATTCTCCGTCCAGAAATCGTAAGTTATTCTGTTTATTGATCGGATTTTAATTCGATTTGTTTATTGATTTTCGCAGATGATATCGGATGCGATCCAGTCGTTGAAAGAAAGAACTGGATCGAGCCAATATGCGATTGCGAAGTTCATCGAAGAAAAGTATAAGCCATTGCCTCCGAATTTCCGAAAGATCTTGCTTGTTCAGTTAAAAAAGTTTGTTGCGTCAGGAAAGCTCGTCAAGGTCAAAGCCTCCTACAAGCTCCCTCCGGCATCCTCCGTTGCCAAGAAGCCTGCCACCGCGAAGCCGAAAGATGTTTCCTCTGCTGCCGTGAAATCGAAGCTGAAGGCAGTCAAAGCCGCGGCGAAACCGAAAAGAAAAGTTGTTACGCCTGTTAAGCCAAAGGCTAAAGTTACGGCGAAACATAAGGCCAAAGCTAGAAGTAAAGCAGTGACTAAGCCAGTTAAGGCAGCGAAGACGGCCAAAACTACTATACCGGCAAAGAAAGCGAAGTCTCCGGCAAAGAAGAAGGTCGTGGTGGCAAAGAAGCCTAAGAGCGTGAAATCGCCGGCTAAGAAAGCGGCGAAGAAGGCGAAGAAATGAGAAGGATGGTTTAGTTAGCAGAGTAGGTGTTAATTTGACTGTGAATTAGGGGTAGTTCTGGAATTGCAGGCTAATATATGTTAATATTATGTATTTATTATTGATAAGACATGGTTATGAATTTTCCTATTTTCATTTCATATATTAGGTTGTAATATGAGCTTTTGATTTGTTAGTTAAATGCGAAGTACGTTCCATCACAGAGTTTAAAAGGGTTATTTGAGTTGGACAGTATTAGTAGGGGTAAATTATATGTTTACTAATTTTATTACCTCTTATTTTATTATAATATATTTAATTTTTTAATTTATTTATTAAATTTTAAACATTAATTTTTTTTGTTACTTCATCGCTATATTTTTAATGTGTAATGATGTTAAATTAAAATTAAAAAATTAAAAGTATAATAAAGTTTAATAAATAAATATGTGATATTTTTATTATTAAAATATATTACATAAACACTCGTTATCAAGTAGAGTATATGGTCGAATGGACAAATTGTAAAAGTACGGGAAAAAAAGTAAAATAGAAAAGAAAATAAAATTCAAAAACGTTTTAGTAAAACACGTCTTCTTTCTTCGTTGAAGTACTACAACTTTACAACTCTGATAGTACTAGGATTAGATGTCTTGTATCTTTCGTCGTGTAGTCAGACATCGAGATACCTTTATTTTATTGTTGCAGTTGGGATCCCTTTTCTTTAATTAAATGTGTATTATCAAAGGGAAATGAATGTTTCCACCTTGAGATATTGTTGTCTTTAGGGAGGCGATATACCTCCACTTCAAGGTTATAATTCATGGAAGGTTTAAATATATAAAAGATGTTTAATGTATGTATTTCGTTTTAATTTAGTGTCTAACGTTTATTTCGTTTTAATTTAGTGTCTAACGTTTTATTTTATTGCTTATTTAGGTGTCCGGATCGTTAACGATATTAATTTTTCTATTAAGTGATACATATCATAACTTGGTAATTTTAAAAAATTTATTTAAAATTAAAAAATTAAAATTATATATCGTTAACGATATTTTTTTTTTGAAAGAGGTACCTTGTATTCAGAACGTTTAAAAAGTACATCACCTCGAAGACCTCGTTAAAAAACCTCACTAATCCTAAATAGAGGAAAAAGAATATACTTTGAGGTGGTAAAAAAACACATAACTGTAACAACACACAACCATACTCCAGCCCTAGAACACCCCAAACCATTTTAAGAAATTCAACACAAACTAACAATAAAAAAATGAACTAAGAACTGAAAGGAGATCGGACACCGATAGCATGACCAAAGTGACGAAACAAAAACATCAAACATAAAGCACCCGCAACCATAGCTTGTGCGAAACCTAGCCCTAAGTCTTGGAGAACCACACTTGCAAGAACTGAACCAAAGATGAATTAAGTCTCGATGTTCTTAAGAACCATGCAGTCTTGAGAAAGGTGGCCATCAATAATTAGCAGAATAAAAAGAACACTGCTCCCAACTTACAGCTGCTATCAACAAACTCATCCAAGGACCGAAGCATAATACCTTATATTAAAGGCTACACGTCCAGCATAACCGAAGCAACTTGATGCTTATTTTAAGAGGATCCTTCCCTAATTAAGGAATCTCCACACAAATGAGCGATGGCAGCCACCAGAGCAACTGGTTCCAGACAAGGAAACACCAGCTCCAATCTATACCACCCGCATAAAGAAGAAAAAACAGAATAATCTAAGGGGAAAACCAATAATGAAAACGGTTAGAACTAATCCCTATCACCACCCTCAATCTATAAACGATTCTGAGCTACGAGCAGAAGATTATAAACACTCGGAACCTGCCTTGAATAAGAGACCCTAGAATTAAACTACACCATCCAAATCATAAGAAAACATTACTAAATTGTTTTCTAACATATGAATACCTACCATAAAAATAATTTAACGCTTGTTAATAAAAATCAATGCTTCAAATTGTATCTTGATGAGTTCTTTTTATGCAAAATAGCCTTGTTCATCACTTCAAATAGTTTTAGATAATGACATGTTACAATAGGTCATCATCATCATCTAATTGGAGATTAAATTTATTAAATCGAATTAAAATTATATCTGAATTGGTAAAATGCATAAATATTAGGTCTAAATGTGTAAATGATAACAATGTGTGACTTGATTGATAACAATTAAATAATTAGATAATCTAATTGACAAAATTAAAAGTTTAATGGTCAAAATAAAAAAGTAGTAATAAATAAGCTATCATAGGTATAGTTTACACTATTTTTTATTGACCACTTCAATATGCCTTTTTTACTTACCCAAAATGTTTACTTTTTTTTTCAACATATTTGGGTTTTCCTTATAAAAATTATATAAATTATCTTAGGTTCAAAATAAATACTCTATAAACTTATATTTCTTGATTTTTTAGAAAAATCAGAATATAACATGCTCTAAATTCATTTACATATTTATAAAACAAGACAAATGATTAAAAAAGGGGTAAAACTACACAGGTTATTATTTAAAATATGATAAAAAATCACTTTGACTACTGATGTTTCATTTCAATCAAACATATCGTTCAACCATTTATATGGTTCATTGAAGCTACACCTTGTTTAAGGAAAACAAATTTTGAAGATGGGGCAAATGCTCCATTTGTAATTATAATGCCAACTTTTTTATATATTTTGTTTTAGATTATTTCACACATACACACATATATATATATTAAATTATTGAAACAAATCTAATGAAAAAAATTATATTTTTCACACATGCATGTATAATTATAGTTAATACAAGATTTATAAATAAAAATGAATTTAATATTTTAATATTTTTAAATTAAATTAATTTCTTCACAATTATTGTAAAATAATTATATGTGATTTATATTTAAAAATAAAATTATATTAAAATTTCATTAGAGAATATAAAGTAAAAAAACAACTTAAATCATAAAATAAATTTATAATCTGAATCTTAACCTTTTGTTTTCAATTTTTATAAAAATTATTTCTCATTCGCTTTATATTTATAGTTATTTAAAAATAATTGTGGAAAAGAAAAAATATATTTTAATTTAAAAATATAAAATATTAATTCATTTTTAGTTTTAAATCTTACATTAACTATAATTATATATATGTGGGAAAAATATAATTTATTTATTAGATTTATTTCAATAATTTAATATGTACGTGTATGTGTGAATTTATCTAAAATAAAATATATAAAAGAGTTTGTAATCTAATAATAGATGGAGCATTTACTTGTTTGGTTAAGGCTTTCCCAAGGACACCCTTGGTCCCTAGTTCGAAAATCCTTGGCATCTTCGCAATTTGTTTCCTTTAAAGGTGGTGACACGTGTCACCTCCTTGTTGGTGGTTAAATCTATCAAATTAAAATATTAAAATTAATTAAAACACAATTCTCCTATAATACGGTGACACGTGTCACTTAAAAATATGTCACAATAATATGTTGACAATTGGCACCTCCAGATTGGAGGGTAATCTTTTAAAATTAAATTAATAGAATGTGTAAGTATATAAAACCAAATGTATAATTATACAAATTATATTAACTGACATGTCACTATCACCGTTAACAATTAACGGAGAGTGCATTGAATGAATCATTCAAATAGTTGAGTGGTATGTTCGATTAAAACGAAACATCTATTGTCAAAGTAATTTTTAACCATAATTTACTGGTCACGTATAGTAATTTACTCTTAAATAAATCTCTTCACCATTGTCAACACGTATAATATAGTGGTCAACAACTCTTTCATATATGACCAAGATTATATGTAACAACATATAACTTTCAAAACATATACAATTAAACTTCAACACAAACCACTTTAAAAGAAGGAAGACACAAGTCATTGCTGCTCACAAGAAGACATGCTAAATATTCCTGTCAAGACATTCATATGATATGGGAACTTGGGAAATTCAAGGCCAATGTGTTAGTCGTGAAAAACCAGATGTTCATGACTGCACCGCGATGTTAGCATTACTCTCCTCCGCCAGTTTAGAGGATTTCGTCGTATCTTTTACCTTTTTCACTCGATCTTTCAGCTTCCCACCTCCATTACTGCCCACTCCATTCTTCTGACCTTTAAATTTGAGCTCATCTGCAGGATCGATCCTTTCCATATGGTTACCACCAAAGCTGTGGCGGTGGCCCTGGCAGCAAGCTTTTGGCTTTTCTAATTCTTCCTCGAATAGGTGGCCTGCATCACCACAGCTCTTTCTTGGGGAAAGATTTGGTGACTTTGGCCGAGTTAAAGGCAGCTGAAATGAAATAAGAACAAGAATGAAATGGTTTGTATCCAAAGCTGCGTGAAGAATACAAGGGTTTTGTCTCGGAATGTTTTTGTGAAAGGGAAACATTTTCAGGCCTACTACTTCGAAGAACTCTTTGAGAAAGGAGGAGAAAAGGTTCAACGAAATACCTTCTTCAGTTCAACCTTTGGTGGAGGTTGTTCGTAGTCGAAACTAGGTACCGGATTTGCTTTGACGACCAAGCTCTTCCGCAGCTGCTTAAGGGCTGCTTCTTGCTCTTCCAGCTTAAGGGCTGCATACTGCTGCCTCTCGGCCTCCAGAGCTTGGTGTTTTCCCTCTAACTTCTGGTAAAACTGGATTGAGGAAGAATATAAATTTTATCGATTGTTTGATTAAACAGGGTGCAAATATCAATTGTTAGAACAAAGAATGTACATCCTTCCGTTTCTCGGCACGTTCAGCACTTCTAAATGTCGGGGCAGTCCCAATTGTTACCCTCGATCTACCAGTTCGAACAGATGTAGTAGTACTAGACAAAGCTAAGGAAAATTCAGCTAAAATGACAACAGCTAATTACACTACAACAAACCTTTCTGGTAGAAGAGTTTCAATAGGGAAGCCCCCGATAAATAAAAAGATAAGTGCATATAACATTGAACAGAGGATACGAGGAAGCGACGGACCAATTATCATCGTCATCATGATGTTTCCTTGTCATCAGAGGAGTCTTTGGAGAGTTTTTCTGAAACAAATGCCAAAAATCCAGAAGATCAGCACCGCGCATGTACAAAAAGTTCTGACAGATGAATAAAAGCCGTTAGCAGGGCATGCTTTAAAAGCGAGTGCCATTCTCTAACTTGTTGAGCCTCGTATACAGAAATTCCAACTTCACTCTCGAGGATCGTTGTTACCTCATAATCCTTGGTAGGGGAAGGTGTATAGTCGGCATTTGTGGTATCATTTGCACCAGCTTTGGAAGGACCGAGGTGTGCTTTAGGCCAGATGAAATGAACCAGGCAATAGCAAAGACATGAGTGAAGAAAAAAAATCCAAGACTTTCAGACCAAAAGTTAAAAACCAACAGAATGAAAGCCTTTTACAAGACTCCTCATTTATTGGGGTGCTGGGGGGGGGGGGGAGACTTGAGAAAATAAAGCACTTTGAATTAAACTTAAAAAAATTAACTGACCATTATTCTACGTGTAATGACGAATGAAAGCCTTTTACAAGACTCCTCATTTATTGGGGGACTTGAGAAAATCAAGCACTTTGAATTAAACTTAAAAAAATTAACTGACCGTTATTCTACATGTAATGAGGTAAGAGAAGGTAATATAATCAAGTTGAGAACTCAAAATTAAAAACATTATGCTCTATTGAGCTGGATGGTCACTTTGAATTAAACTTGAGAGAGCTAAAAGAATTCCTCAAAACCCAGAATTAAAAAGAGAGAAAAATTTACCAAAATTCTTCATTTCTTAGAGAACTTCCACATAAAACAAACAGAAAATTCTTCATTTCTTAGAGAACTTCCACATAAAACTAACATGAACAACAGTTCAACAAGGAAAAAAACCCAGAAAACATGATGAGAAAGAAGCAATATACCTTGAATAAGTGGGAAATCAATTAAACAGAACAAATCCACATTGCTTATGTAAAAAATACAAGGACAAAAGAAACAAAAATCAAAACTAGAAGAAACGATAAGAATTTTGATGTGTGTATTGACTTGCAGATTCTCTTTGTAGCTCGATCTGACAAGTTCTTGAAACCCTGTTCCTCTTCCTCCTCGTCTTCTTTCCTTGCAGTTTCTCTGTGGGTGTCCTATTTTAGTCTTAATAACAGATGATTCTCCTTTAATTAAGCTCTTATCTTTGAAAGCTGTGTTTTTAAATTTCTTCCCTTTGTGGATGAGTTGTTGGTTATTTACAGGGGCAGTTTTTTCAGTTTTCATCTCCATGTTCTCACTATTTTCCCACGGCGTTACCCTCACTTTACAATTTTTAAGGCTTATCTTTTTAACTGCATAAAACTAATCTTTTTAAACTCATCAAACTTAGAAATGGTAATGAGTCGAGTTTTGGTCGGATTTTGATCAATCTAATCTGATTTAAAAATTATAGATTATTTATTTGATCCGATTCAATCTGATTTTTTGAAATAAATTTCGAGCTCAATTTCATCCGACTATAAATAATATATTTATTAAAAATATTATTTTTATTCATTAAAAATAAAGATTTAATTAAAAAAAATAATATATAGAAGGGTATTATTGTACTTATCCCTAAATATATAAGATAAAATTATATTTTTGAGTCAGGTCAAGTCAGGTATTTTCACCCTAAATCCAACCTCGACCCCAATATAACCTCTAAAAAATTTGACCCGACCCGACCCGACCAGATCCGACAAGATAAAATATAATCTTGCGTTTTAATATGGCAACTTTAATTCAAAATTATTATTATTATTTTTAATAATAACAAGATTTTTGTTTTTTTAAATCTTAAACAGTGACAGATGCAAAATTTTATATTAAGGCACAAACTTCTAAAATTATAGAAGAAGATGAACCTAAACGTTGACGTAGCTTTAGTAATCGAGATACGAAGCAAAAGTGGCATCTCTCATCAATGGGGCTATGAAACTCAACACCGACGTAGTTGTGAATCTAAATACTATGGCGGCTTCTGACGGAGGAGTTCTGTGCGACATCAAAGAAGTGTGGCTAGCATTCTTTCATCGAAACATCGGTCGTTGCTCGGTTCTCCATGCTGAACTCTGGGTTGTGCTAGATGGTCTAGTCTTAGCATGAGATCTTGCAGCAAGACAAGTCGACGTGGAGGTTGATAGTAGTGCGGTTGTGAGGATCCTTAACTCCCCAACCCAGCCGTAGGAAGCGTCGATAATGGATCTATTTTTTGAATAGTCTAAGGTAGATACAATTTAATAATTGATAACACACGCATGCAGAAACAAATTGTTTGAACTTAAGATCTCTAGAACGCTGACCACTTAATAAGTTCATAAATATTTAAAATTATATATAATTTTTTATCTTCCAATCTCTTTAAAGCAGACCACACACGTAAATTCAATAAATTTAATCCATTAATAAAATAATGCAATTAATGTAAATTAAGAAAAATATGAAACAAGTTTTGAAGGAATAATCTTGGGACCTAGGCGAAACCAAATTGTTTAGGTATTAAAATGAAAGAAAATAACAAATGTGTGGCCCATGCAGGTATTTGAACCTTTTTTAAAAGAATTATTCAAACCATTAAACAATAGTACCTACACAGGTCATTTGGAAGTGCGTGTTGGATACGTTAAGAAGACCTAATACATATCCGACTTTGGTAGTTTTCATTCCTCAATGGTCAAATATCGCAAAGTGATCTAAGCATACAAAATTTCAGATTCTTAGGGCACCTGTTCTATTTGACCCCATTAATGTCCCTATCAATTTGGGGAGGGGGGGGGGGACTCTACATTCACAACATTTTCATCAAAATATAGAACCAAAATTCGAATTTTTGTCTCATTTTTTTAATATGCTTTTTAAGGTCATTTGTTATAGGCTTAATATCAACATTTTTATCAAATAGGTGGTTAAATTATTTTTTGTCCATGTGCCTAATGTTACAAACGTTACCCATTTAGGTGTCTGTGTCGTCAATTACATTAATTTCCCCGTTAGTGACATGTGACACAATTTGATATTTTAAAATTTATTTTTTAAAAAAATATTAAAAATATTATGACATTTATATAATAAAAAAACTAACCTTTCTTATATTATAAAACAAACCCAAAATCCTAAATACTAAACTTAGTCTATCACCTCCGCCCTTTTCAGTTGTGACCACCACCACCAATATAGTCCCTATCATCCTCCTACTCATACGTCATCGTAGTTTTCGTCGATTGGCTGTCGGAATCTCGTGGGATCACTATTTTCATCCTAGGGTTCGCGGGGTATAAAACGTTGATTCGTCGTTGATTGACCATCAATCGGTCACAATTTCATGGGAGTTTTGGTCATCGGAGGTGGGGATGTCAGGTGGAGCTTCGTTGACAGCAAAAGGCAACGGTCGACGTGATTTAGGGACACATGTCATTTAACGGAGGAATTAACACCGTTGACTGCCCGAACACTTAAATGGGTAATGTCTGTAACGTTAGGCACCGTAATGAGTTAAAAACTAATTTAAGCACCTATTTAAGAAAAGAGATATAATTTGGACACTTATTTTGATATTATATCTTTGTTATACGTTGGTATAACTAGTAAATATGGACCGAGGGGTGGGTGGGATAGTGATATTCTTATACGAAGCATAGATTCCGCTGGGAATTAATTTTTTTAAATAATAAATTTTTAATATTTTTGAAGATGATAAATTAAATTTTTTTAAAAAATTAATAATTTTTCCCAAAATTTTAGGGGTCATGATTCTCCAAATCAAGTACGAGCTATTTCAGTATAATATATAATAATAAATGATAGTATTTTAATTCTGATTGATATTAAGTTTTGAATTTAATTTAAGATAATATTTTTTTCTTTTCCTTTATTAAAAAATATAAAAATTAATATTCATATTACAAAACTAAAACATTTTTGAATTAAACCGTTCATTTTTTTATAAAAAGTTGTTAGTTTTATTAAAAATAGAAAATATTCAAAATTAAATGAAGATTTACAAACATAACCGTAAACGTAAACTAAATTATATTTAGGATATTTTCCTATAATCATTAACACAAAAATTAGTCACCTAGATCACACAATGACCATAAAAAGAAAAGGTTTAAAAACCTAACCAATGCTCGAATAAAATAAAGATACGAACAAATCTGATTGCATCGGCAAGTGAACCACAAAAGAGAATAAAACTACAAAAAAACCACCGATAAATCATAAATCAGAGTCAAGCGATGTGAGAAAACTATCAACGAGCGCAAAATGTATATCCAAATTAATCTGAGGGTCCAAACCAGGGAAGATCAACAGGATAACAAATAAACGTCATTTAGATCAGTCGTAGCGATGTCAAATCCAACCATGTGAAAAAAGATAAACGAAAAAACGACACAAAATTGTAAGCTACCAAAAGGCATTGAAAAACGGGCCACAAAGACAGAGATAAACATGTCATAAAGACAGATAACATATAACAAAGACATAAATAAGATACTAAGTCAGAGACATATAGAGGCATCGGCTCCCAAAATTAATGTTTTTATTAACCCTTTAATGAAGGGATGAATTGTACTTTTAAAATTTAAAATAATTGTTTGATTTAAATCATTTTAAAATAAATTTACAAATTTAGTCCAAAAAAATTATAATTTTATCTTATTGTCTTACTAAATTTTAGAAAAATTGTAGAAATTAATTTAATGTGGACATGGAAGCAGCATTTCGCGGTAAAAGTTCATGAAAGTGAATTATTTTATTAGTTAATCTGATTTTAATTTTATAAAATTTAAATAAAATTTAATCCCCACATCTTAATTACAACAACTCAATCTCTTTTTTTTTCCCTTCAATTTTCTTTAGTCTTTCCCTCTTACCAAACACAAATTAAGAGATCAATTCTACATGTAAATGGCACATAGAAAACTTGACATTTATGGCTTCAATCCCATGTAATAGAACTGTATCTTTGGGGGGTATAACGTTTTCTGGTCCAATAGTGCAGCCCAAATTTTTTTTTGCGAAATAAGATACATACATTTTTATTTTGGGATCTACGACATATTTTACGGTGCATGAAACTCATCACGTTTAGAAAATGAGTTTGAATAAAAAAAATTATTCAAACCTTTTACTTTATGTGATAAATTTTAATTAAAAATTTATATTTTAATGAAACTCGTCGCGTCGAGATGATGAGTTTAAAATTTTATTTTTTTAAAACATGTCACCTCAACGTTACAAGTTACATGAACATTATAAAAAATATCGTAGATTCCAAAATAAGAACCCAGATACCCTAATAGGCTAAATAAAAAACCCGGATGACCTAACGGGCAAAAAAAAAACCGGGTATAACTGTCGTCTTATCCATTAAAGAAACCCCGTCTTTCTCTTACTACGTCTACAATCAATAAGGTTCCACCAGGCGTTCAATTCTCATTGGTCCATTTGTACCCCTATATAACCACCTTTCAGTAACGGTATTTTCTTCTCCCCAAATTTCCCGCTACACAACACAACATAAAGAAATCAAGAAAATGAGAGATTAACGGAAGAAACTAAAATCAAAAAGAAAAAGAGAAGAAATCAAAATCAAAGAATTATTGGAGCATTCATCCGAGGAAGACAATGGGCGCAGAGGCAGTTGCTGCTACAGGAGGAGTAGAGGCACAGAAGAAGAACAGAATTCAAGTGTCCAACACTAAAAAACCTCTCTTTTTCTATGTTAATCTTGCCAAAGTAAGGCTTTTTTGATCTTTTTTATTTTATTTTAATCTCATTTGTTTCATGCAAAAACGCTTTTTTGATCTGGGTTTTTGTTTTTATGTTTTTGATTGATCCATTTTATTACATTGTTTCTTTTTTGGACTTCTATTTCTCGATGTGACAATGCGAAAATCGATGATTGAATAGTCGATCTCATCCGGATTTTTTTTCGTTCTTTTCGAAAGTACCAGGACTCAGCAGAAAGCTTTCAAATGGTTCTGAGCTTTGAGAGCTTTTCTCATTATACTTGTGTCTCAATAATGTATTCTGTCACCTTTCCTGTATGTGAAAAGTCAAGGAGCTTATGCATCCTGATACTTAAACTGCACCAAGTGTATTTGAATCGATGTTGTTCGACTTGATCTGACCGGTTTTACGAACAACTTTGTTATACGGTTTTAACAATGGATTTGGCAAGTTGAAGCTGGTATCCATGATTATATGGTATGGAAATAGATGTGGAAATCAGACATGAAATGGAGACACTTTATATGTTTCTGCGGTCAAATTTTATCTGTTTTTTTTCTTATTTCCTTATACAGAAATTAGCTACTATAGCAGTATTAGGTTTTTAAATGCAATTTGTTCTTTTTGGTTCGATCTTTCCTTTAGTTTGTCCATCTTAATGTGTATGGATGATCACGTTCAAGCTATGCTACATGTTTCAGTTTTGTTTTCCTTTTGATGCAGAGATACATTCAGCAGCATAATGAGGTTGAGCTTTCTGCCTTGGGCATGGGTACATTCCTCAGTTTTGTTGCTCTGAATTGTGAACTTTAAACTATGAACCCTGTTATCTCGATCTTTGTAATAAAGTTTCCACCTATTTACGTTTCTCGGCATTGGAAACGATTCATTTTCAAGATGCTTCCTGATTTTCGCCATCAAATTGTAATGCAGCAATCACTACTGTTGTTACTATTGCTGAGATCTTAAAGAATAATGGACTGGCTATTGAGAAGAGTAAGAATCTCGATCTCTTAATCCGAAAAAGCTTTCCATCCTTGACGAGCATGAATAATTCGATACTGATTGTTTATGGAACAAAGCAGAAGTTTCAACATCCACGGTCAACATGAAAGACGAGAACAAAGGGCGTGCCATCCTAAAAGCCAAGGTGGGTTTATATTCTTACAGTATATATATATATATTGATTCTGAATTTGGTTGGTGAATTCATTCTGATCTCTACTTGCTTTCTGTTTTAGATCGAAATCGTGTTGGCGAAGTCCGACAAGTTCGACATGCTGATGAATGCTTCCAATGCGGCACCGGAGACCGATACCAAAAGCAAGGAATGACAATTTAGTGAAGCAAAATGTTTGATGTTCATTGTTGTAGTTCAATGTTCAATGTTCAAACTTGTGGATTAGTTAAATGCTTAAGAGAGTAGAGAGTGACAACTTCTATAGAATGATATAACAATGAGCAGTTTCCAGTTGTATGCTTATCTCTATTCTCTGTATGGAGGGATCATCTATGATATTATATTGTTTCTTTTCTGGACTTGTATTTCTCAATGTGGAAACACGAAAATCGATGACTGAATAGTCAATCTCACCCGAAATTTTCTTTCATTTCTATAGTATCAGTTTCTCATTTGTGTCGAACGCATATGCAGAAGGGGTATACAGTGTTTGATCCAACACTCTCCGATCAAGTCCGGGTTACATGGTTGATGCCTAATTCTTACCAATCTGTTTGATGAAAATGAAGATGTATAGATATGAAATATGCAATTTGATTCTGTTCTACATCTGTAATCAGGACCCTGAACCGAATGCCAAAGCCCGAAGAGGTTCTTCGGGTTAGAGATACTTTAGACAGATCTTTTCTGTATGTGAAAACTCAAGGAACTTATGCATCATGTTACTTAAACTATGTACACTACATGCTTACTTGAATTTGATTGTTCGACTTGATTTGGCCGGTTTTATGAACGAGTTCATATGCGGTTTTAACAATGGATTTGGTAAGTTGAAGCTGGTATCCATGATTACATGGTATGTCAATAGATGTGGAAATCATACATGAAATGGAGGCACATTATATGTTCCTGCAGTCAAATTTAAACTGTCCTTTTTCATTTCCTGATACAGAAATCAGCTATTATAGCAGTGTTAGTTTTTAAAAAGCATTTCTTGGCTCTCTAACCTTACTGAGGTTACGATACAGTACCGATTCAATACATTCTTTAGAATTGCCCTGTCGCCGTCGTCTGCAGCCTCTCTAAGCATTGGATTTCGAGTTCTTTGGTATGCTTGCATGATGATGATCATGCAACCTATCGTTTCTACACTTTCTGAACTCCACAAGTACTGTACTTTGCTTGTTTCAGTCATATCGAACCCATCGAACATATCATGTTTCTTTTCCGTAGTTAAAATCTTCCGATTACGAGTCACAGTCCATTGCTTGCGGTGAATGCTGTCTACATGGTAGAATCTGCTATGAAAATGATGCAGATGGCCTGCTCTGTTGTTACCATTGCAAAACTTGTGTCCCCTACATGTTTGTTCCACGGCTGTGTGGAGCATATATCAACATAGGTCTTGCCCCCTAATTTTTGAACTTAAATACATCATAGGTCCCTAGTTTTTTGAAGTTAGATAATTTAATCCTTCTCAATATTTGATCCTAATTCCGTACATTCTTATCTCTAGTTTTCTTCGTTACCATTTTTCATATTTCCTACCAAACAAAGGTGCCCAACATATGGCGCCTAACTTTTTTTTTGGTTCAATTTGGGACGAACGTTTCATTATGTAACTCACTTTGGTGCCTGGCCGTGACGAGCCATTAAGGTGGGCCGTTAAATGCCACCTGACATGGGTATAATAGTAAAAAAAACGGATTTTCTAATTAAAATAGTAATAAATTAATTAATTGAAATTTAAAAAAAAAAAGAGAAAAAAACATTTTTGCCTTTAACTCTAAATCATTTTCCCTCTCTTCCCCTTCCTTCTCTTCCCCGTCAGTTTCTTCCCATTCTTCTCCACCCTTTTTCTGGAAAAAAAAGGAAAATTATTGGTGCATTTCAGTTTTATTGTTGAAGAACTTCAAATGATAAACATGGTTTATTATAAATTCATGTTCAAACTTATAAATATTTAAATTAATTTATATAATATAATAAAATCATGTTCACTAAATAAATTATTTAATGAAATTAAATAATTTTTTATTATTAAGATTTATAATATAAATATTATAATTAATATAGAAATTAAATTTATTAATTTAATTATCATAACTAACAATTTATTTTAACTTTTAAAATGTAATCATATTAATTATCATAGTTTATTATAAATTCAAAATCTCACAACTTCATTAATTGTAACTCATAAGTCAGTTAAGTATCAGATCAGTTCAATAACAAGTTGAATCATTTACAAGTTGAATCAATTACAAGTCAAGTTCATAGCAGGTCGAGTAATACCAGTTATTTACCAGGTTAATCTTGGGTTCGAGATCATATTAGTCGGATGCAAGTCGGGTTTGGTTATCATATTATCGGTTCAATTCAGTTTCAAGACATTCTCAGATCATAAACAGGTTAAGATCCACAATTTTCAGGTCCAACTCGGGTTCAAGTCAACACTAGTTCCGACTCGAACCGGTTTTGGATCACCACCGCTCGGGTCACAAACAATTTTGACTCAAATCGGTTTCAGTCAGTTTTGCAGGTCAGTTTTTTACATCCCTAATCTTCATTATTGAAAAACGATTGAACATATTCATACATGATCAAAACACACTTCCATCCAATTTTCAATAAATTACACAAACTTCAAATGCAACTAATTAGGATACATCAATTATACATGCTATTCATTTTAAATATTTATATAGATCTTAACATTATATAATCAACTACAAACACTAATTAAGCATGCTATTGTTTTCCCATCGAACTACATACGCTTAGTAGCCCAAAACAAATAGATCTTGTTACCAATATGCTCCAGCTTTCCATAGCAAGCATGCCTCCATGATATGATGAAAAACAGGGGAGCCACCACTCTCCAAAACCCCATTACAAACCCAACAACCATGCTCGCATAAAACCCATTTATCTTACTTCTCCCACTGCTCCCTCCGTTCTTCGTAGCATCAATCGGAACACCTTCAGTGCTGCGGCTTTTACTCACAGGCAGCCCGCAGAGATGATTGGCCATGAAGAAAGAGTTGTCAAAGCTTTGAAGCTGAGTGGATGTTGGGATTTGTCCTGTCAGGTTGTTGTAGAACACGTTGAAGTGAGTCAAGAAGTTCAAATTGGAGAAACTTGAAGGGATTTCACTATGCAAATGATTCATCGACAAATCAAGTGATTCATTCAACTCCATGTTGCCAATGATGTCTGGTATATTTCCTGTTAGAAGATTCCCTGACAAATTAAATGACAATAGCCCAATGAGACTTCCAAGTTCTTCTGGAATCTCTTCTATAAAAATATTAGCTGAAAGGTCTATGCTGGTAACAAGTCTAGTGTTGTACTGTGTTCATTTTCTCTTCCTTTTAGCACCAATGATGCACCCATCAAATAATCATGGTAATAATCAAGCTGCCACTCTGGATGGTAGTAGTAATTACTTTGTTTTTCTTTAGTGGCCATTGCAATTAAATTTCTAAAACAATTTGGAATAGCTCCTGAAATGTTGTTATGGGCAACGTCCAAATTCTGAAGATATTGAAGAGCACAAATCATATGAGGAATATGCCCATCAAAGTTTTGAGAGCTTATCACCCATCCATGTCAGTATTCTTTCACTGAAATGATTTTCACTGAGATCAAGAATAACCAAACCCCTACAGTTTTGCAATGTGGAGGGTAATTCTCCAAACATGCTATTGTTCCGAACGTTTAGCATTTCAAGACTTGCATCTCCCAAAGAAGATGGGATTCTTCCTGTCAAATTGTTGTTTCCCAAATTTAAGATCACCAAGTCCTGCCAACGATTCCAGCAATCCGGAATTTCTCCAGAGAGAAGATTCGTATCGATGCCCTATCGACAATGGAGTGGGACCAGAGATGTTGTTTCCAGCAATGTACAGAGAGTTGGCTATATGCCATACTTAATGACTCTAAGCTATCCAATCCCTTTTCACTTGGATTGACCATGCTTGACGCGGTAACCGACGTAAATTCCGAAGAGTAAATCCGTTTCTATGCTCCGAAGAATTTGAGTCATAACTATTACCCAAGGCTGCCTAAATCAACTTCATTTTCAGGTTTAATTTCAATTTCTTTATTTTATTTAATATAATTTCTTCATTTTCTTTATAATCTTTATTTTAGTTTAATTTTCCCAAAACCCCTCGTTTCTTTTACTTTCCAGGCAAACACGCCAAAGGTCCTCAATCAAAGAAGCGAAGCAAATCATTAGTCTCCTTAATCCCTGTGAAATCGACCCTATTTCTATGTACTATTCCATCTAATTTCTTTATTTATTATTTAATTTTTTTATTAGAGAAGAAAAGAAATTATTTGACGCAAAGACGATGTGCGTAACCTACCTAGAACCTTGTTTGGAATTATAACAAACCCATGTCCGTCATTTAGGCTTAGGACATGCTCATGATTATTACTTAGGTTTAGGTCATTCTCACGATCATGATTTGGATTTTTGAACCGAGAAGAGGATGTTGACCGCAGTAATGGGCATGATAACGAGTTAGGTATGGATAAAAAAACCAGACCATGGTGACAATAAGTTAGCTTTATCTGAGAACAATGAGTTGATTGTTTCTGCAAACCAAGAGCTCGATGATAGTCTGGCATTGGCTGTGGGTGACAGCCAGGATATGGTAATTGATCCTGCCCAAGATTTACAGCACTCTTAGTCCATAGATGATAATTAGTCTTCCTCATGTTCGGAATTGAAATCCGAGTTATGATCTCGGATGTCAAAAGCTTTGGTAGGGCGTTGAAGGATACAACTATTGCCCTTCACTTTGAAATGCAGAACCATACATGAGACTCAAGGCATTGCTCATCTTGGCCATCAACAAGCCTCTGTGCAGTGGGTGGCAAACACTATGGAACAAAGATTAAGGGGAGAAACCTAATTACAAGCCTAAGGAGATATCGGAAGAGATTCACCGGGTTCATGGAATCACCTTATCTTTCAAGCAAGCCTGGAGCGTATCACGGCTGCTATGTGTGGATCTTTCAAGTAAAGGTATCGCTTACTCCCTCAATATTGTGAACGGATCAAGCGGACAAATCGTGGGAGTATTGCATTTGTCTATGCAAAGTTGGAAACCCAACTGATAACAGTTTCCAACCTCTTTTCATATCATTTCAGGCCTCCACTTATGGTTTTCTGAATGCTCTGGCATTTGGTGTTGATGATGAAGAGAACGATGAGAACTGACATATGGTTTCTCCCTACACTTCATAACCTGCTTGAAATAATACGAAAAATATGCCAAGGCTTACAATTTTGTCAGACAGACAGAAGGGAGTTGCAGATGGTGTTGAAGCAAATTTCAAGATATCATTCACAGTGGCGGATCCAGAAAGTTAAAAATAGGGTCTAAAATTTTAATTTTTTTTCCTTTTTACTTAACATACTAAATTAAATTTAATCAATTTTCTAAAATAATGGGATGCACTTGACCTCTATAGGAGTTTAGTGCATCCGCCTCATTCACCCACCCAAATCACTTAAACCGCCCGGTCGGTCGACAATGGAGGAAGCGAGTTTGAGGAGAAAATCGTGGCCATGAGAAGCGAGTTGTGCATTGAGCCGTAAAGTTCGAATTCTTTAAATATGTTAACGAATTATCATTCATTCGATTTACGAAGACATGTAAAACACCAACATAACAAATGATTATCCATTTCGACAATCTAAAAGGTTTGGATGTAAATCAAAGTAACCTAAACAAATTTACGGTAACTCAGTTATGCCATTAAATTAATCAAAAATTTAATAATTGAGCTTGTTGAAATAACTCCATGGAAGACTCGTCCATTCCATAACGCAGTCAACACGGTTTTGCGATTTTCTGTCAATTTAGTGGGTTTTTAAAGGCTTAATTCCCAAATAAGTGTCCAAACTATATATTTTGTGGCAAATTGGTGCCTACGGTATTTTTGACCCATTCAGGTGTCTAGCGTTACAAACGTGACCACTTTAGGTGTCCGGACGTCAACTGTGTTAATTTTCTCCGTTAAGTGACACGCGTCAAAATATGATAATTTTAAATTTTTTTTAAAAATATATTAAAATTATTATTATATTTATAAAAAACCCTAATTTCTTTTAAATTACAAAAAAGCCTCAAAATCTATAAACCTAACACTAACCCACCACTTGCCCCCTTTCCGGCCAAGACTATTGCCACCGACGTAGTCCTTGCCATCATCTTTGTTATATGCCACAGTAGTTGTCGTTGATTCGCCTTCTAAGTCACGTGGGATCGCGATTTTCATTATAGAGTTTATGTGGTATAAAAACATCAATTTGTTGCCTATTGGCCATCGACCGGTCATGATTTCATAAGAGTTTTAGTCGTCAGGGGGAGGGGATGTCGAGTGGAGCTTCTTCGACGGCAAAAGTCGGTGGTCGACGTGGGTTTAGTGGTTAAAATGAAGGTTTTCAAAGTTTTAGGGTTATTTTGAAATTTATGTGTTTTCTCTTTTAAAAAATATATAATTTTTTAATTTTATATAAAAAAATTAAAATTATCAAATTGTGACACATGTCACTTAAGGAAGAAATTTAACGGTGTTGACGACCGGACACCTAAAATGATCACGTTTATAACGTTAAAAACCTTAATGACCCAAAAAAATAACATAAACACCTATTCACACAAAAATATGGTTTTAGCATTTATTTGAGAATTAAACCTTCTAAAAACATTCAAATTTCAGTTGGTTTAACTGTCAAATCAATGGAAAAAGCCGAATTTTCTTTGTAACCTCAACTAATCGTCATTGGTCGGTGTTTCCCTCAACGCTTTCCGCCATTGGTTGGTCACTTAATTTCTTCTCCAACCAATCATCATCACCACTAAAAAATTACCATTTTTATTTCAACAAAAGTTTTACAGCTACCCCTTTTCCATTGATCGTCCATAGCAAATAACAATATACTTAACAATGAAGAGAAATTTTCTTTCCCCCCCCCTTTTTTCTCTTGGGGGTTTATTAATAAAAATTGAACCTTTTGCTCTGGGTTTTTGACAGTGAATTATTTATGGGTTCTTTTCCTTTACTTTCGGCTTTTGGTATTTTATGAATCAGCAGCCGACTTTGTGTGGGTGTGGTCTTTGTCGGCTGTTTATTTTTTTCTTCTGTTTTCCCTTTATAAAAAAAATACAAAAAAAAAAACGTGAAGACAACGTGCACACTTTGTTGTTACCTCTTCCATTTGTTCTCATATATAATAAACTACTTTAACTTTTGTTTTCTTTTGTTTCAATAAGTGTTTGATGAGTTTCATTCATTGTAACGAATTTGAAGACGGGTCACTTCGATCAGACGATTTTCCTCTGAATTTTCAGTGATCTTTTCTGGGTTTTCTTCCCTGAGTTAATCACATAAACGGGTCAGCTTTCGCGCGCTCTCTCTCTTTTTTTGCCTTGGAAATATCATAGTTTGACTTGCATATGTAATTCAGTTTTTGTTCTTGAATGATCTTAATATGATCAAGTTAGATTCAGCTTCTAGTCTTTCTGGTTGATGAATTTTGATTAGGTCTTGTGAGTTTTGACTGAAAGTTTACTTACACCTTTTTTGTTAAGCTTCTGATTTAGGCTTTTTATGTTGTGAATTGGGATCTTTTATTTGGTGTATTCATTGTTATGAGAAATTCGCTTTTCTTGTTCTTGACATAAGAATTTACTTCATTAATTTGTTCTTTGAGATTTGTTTGTGACAACTATGACTATTTATCCTGTTTTGGAATTGTGTTTATCCACTATCTCTTGAATGCATAGATCTTCTATGAGAATCGGTTTCGAGCTTTTTAATAAATGGCATAGAAACATCATTCATGATGTTGTTGCAGAGAATTTTATCCCATGGATTTATGTTTCCACTTGTGTGTCCTTTAGCATCTAGGTTGCAATCACTTTGTTTCACTTAGCTGAAATAATTGCTTGTATTTGTTCATTTCAAGAACTTTTGGCTCTTTATCGCCATTGAATTTAATAAACGGCACAGAATCGGTTTCGAGTATTTTTAATAAACAGCATAGAAACATCATTCATGATGTTGTTGCAGAGAATTATATTCCATGGATGTATGTCACCACTTGTGTGTCCTTTGGCATCTACTCTGCAATTACTTTGTTTCACTTAACTGAAAGATTTGCCTGTATTTGTTCTTTTAAGTGAATTTTAATAAACGGCACAGAATCGGTTTCGACTATTTATAATCAACGCACAGAAACATCACGCATGATGTTGTAGCACAGAATTTTATGTCATAGATGTATGTCTCCACTTGTGTGTCCTTTGGCATCTAAGTTACAATCACTTTGTTTCACTTAGCTGGAAGATTTGATTGTATTTGTTCATTTCAAGAACTTTTGGCTCTTCATTTCTGTTGAATTTTAATAAAGGACACAGAATCAGTTTCAAGTATTTTTAATAAATGGTACAGAAACATCATGCATGACGTTGCAGAGAATTTTATGTCATAGATGTATGTCTCCACTTGTTTTTCCTTTGGCATCTAAGTTGCATTCACTTTGTTTCCCTAAGCCGAAAGATCTGCTTATATTTGTTCATTTCAAGAACTTTTGGCTCTTCATTCCTGTTGAATTTTAGCTAGTTCGGTGTCAGCCGGATGTTACCTTTTCTGCAATATTTTCTCTTATCTCTGTCGATTTTTTGTTTTTGTTGTTGGCAGCGTTCGATCTAGCCTTGGACTATTGATTTCATTTTGGGAGTATTGGACTTTGATTCATTTGAAGCAGTTAAATACCTTGTCCTGAAGTTACATAATCTTCTAGGACATGGGTAGAGGGGGAACTTCATCTGTTAACTCGGAGAAAATCTCCCATCGGTTTAGAATGGCTCTATCGTCAGCCTTTTTCGAATGGCTGTTGCTTTTTATGATCTTTATTGATGCTATAGTTTCATTCCTGATAAAAAAATTTGCTCATAAATGTAAATTGCAAACACCTTGTTTGCTATGCTCGAGGCTTGATCATATTTTCGGGAAAGAGAAACGGAAGTTTTATTGGGACCTTGTATGCAATGATCATAAGTTGGAGATTTCATCCTTGGTTTACTGTCATTCTCATAAGAAGCTTGTTGATGTTCAAGGAATGTGTGAAAGTTGCCTTTTCTCATTTGCTAAAATAAATAAGTCTAATGCGGAAACCTACCGATTGTTGGTCGGTAAGTTGGGGGAAGATTTTGATTGTAGTCTCGAGGAGGATCGCTCACTTGAGAATCATAAACTTGGATGTTCGACTCAAAGGCGTTGTTCTTGTTGTAATGAGCCATGGATGCCAAAAGGCTATGCCAAAACATCGATGCAAACACGATCAGTTGTGTTTCCAGCTTCTGAATTTGATAAACCTTTGCCGGTTTCCGTTGAACATGGTAAGTATGAGCAGAACAGAAGTGGCAATGTGTCTGTTTCGGTAGAAGATATACATCAGAGAAAAAACTGGTCCGATCCTTTATCTCATGTATCATATTCGGAGCTTAAGGTTGCTTCTGATTTGGAATCTGAAGTGAATAGTGCTGGCGGGGAGGAAGATGATGTAATTATCCGAACTCATCATCTAGAAAGAGATCTTGTTGATCAACATGTGCAGCCAGAGTCTCAAACTTTTACTTTGTCCGACGATTTTCCTTCAGAGAAATTCGTGGATCCCATTTCTGCACTTAAGCCTCCTGTATTCATTTCACAACCAGAACCGGAGTCAACCATCATTGAAGAGCCTCTTAACACTGTATCAGTGGAATCTACTGATTCAAACCACATGGCTTGGAGGAACTTAATTTGGAGCAAGCCAGTTGCAAAATCGAGCCATCCGCTTCTTCTAAGCTTATTTCTCTTGATGACGTCCCTTTATCGTCAAAAGACGGGGAAGCTTCTATCGATGTGCCAATAGAAATGAATCTTGGTTCCCTTGATAAGGACTCTCCATTGTCAAATCCTGGTGAAGTTCCTATTCAAGTGTCTGAAGAGAGTAAGCTTATTTCCCTTGATTTTCTTCCTTCGTCGCTAGTCAACAATGAAACTCTGGTCGAAGTACTCAAGGAGAGCAAACACCATACCATTGGTGATGAAACTCTGGTCGAAGTACCCAAGGAGAGCAAGCATATCGACAATGAAACTCTGGTTGAAGTACCCAAGGACAGCAAACACAATACCATTGGTGATGAAAATCCGGTCGAAGTACCCAAGGAGAGCAAGCATATAGACAATGAAACTCTAGTCGAAGTACCCAAGGAGAGCAAACACAATACCATTGGCGATGAAACACCAGTCGAAGTACCCAAGGAGATCAAGCATATTGCCATCGACGATGTTTTTCCATCAAATGCCGTTGCATCTTCTGTTGAAGGATTAAAAGAGAATAGTAAGTTGAACTTTGTAGAAATACCCGTCCTAGTTCTCTATCAGCTGCTGTGACACCCTTGATAACTTTCATTTCATGGTTATTCTGCCAATAGGTGTTATCGGAACTGTTGAAGTTGCGAAGATATCTGAGGCGAAGTGCGAAGATAACCACGCATCAACAGAACAACCACTTCCGGTACCCGAATCAGCGGTGGAAGAAAATCAAGTCACTACTGGCACTAGCATCCAGGCACTCAATTCGTTGGACCTAAGTGATGCATATAAGCTAGCAGTAGGTAGTAAAGGAAGACAATTATCTGGTTTGCTTTTTGAACAATGGATTGGAAGAGATTCTTCTAGACTTAGTGAAGATCTAAAGGTGTTATTGTCACAATTATCTTCTCGAGGAATGGATCAATTGATGAACGATGGAAGTCCTCGGATCGCTGCAAGTCCTAAGATTTCTGTAAGTCCGAGGATATCTATAAATAGTGATGATTTAAAAGCATCAGATTCTTCAGCATTTAACGGAATAGAGATGCTTCAGAGGAGGGTCTCACTGGAGAGAAATGAGTCTGGTTTGTCTATAGATGGAAGCATTGTTAGTGAAATCGAAGGCGAAAGTGTGGTTGATCGGCTAAAACGTCAGGCCGAGCACGACAGGAAGTTATTGAGCGCTTTGTACAAGGAATTGGAAGAAGAAAGAAGCGCGTCCGCAGTGGCTACAAATCAAGCAATGGCCATGATTACTCGACTGCAGGAAGAGAAGGCGACGCTGCAAATGGAAGCCTTGCAGCACCTGAGGATGATGGAAGAACAAGCCGAGTATGACATGGAAGCGTTACAAAACACAAACGACCTTCTTGCGGACAAAGAGAAAGAGATTCAAGATCTCGAAGCCGAGCTGGAGTTCTACAGGATGAAGTTCCCCGATGAGTTAATGCCAGATGACACAGAGGATCATTCAGAAGCTACTGGCATTGAAGAAAACGCAAGCTTACGTACAGAGCCAGCGACTGGAAAACCAAACATCGGCGCCATCGACGAAGAAACTGATCAATTGTTCGATGTCACAGACAAGGTCACCATGAAGAATCAATTGTCTGGACATGAACAAGGGTACCATGATGAAGAACTCATTCCTTGACGCTTTACTTAAAAACACCATAAAAGTGAGTACTTTGATTTTTATCAGTTGTTTTCTCCTTGGACAGAACATAATATATAGGACATGATTTCAAATACTATTGCAGAGCTTGTGTGACATCTTCATGTCATGTCTGTCTGTAAATAGCTAGCCTGACATGTTCCGCATACCATCAAAAATGGAGTTGGTGAGGGTTTCTTTTTTTTGCAATATGAGTTTGAAGATTGAATCATTCCTCTTTTTCTCTTGATTTTTTTTTCATTTTCAGCTAAATTTACTGGTTTGTTTGAGTGATTGGATTTTGTACAAGGTTGTGTGCGTCAATTGTAAAGTCAAGTTTGATATAATGAAATCAGCCCAATAATGTTGGAATAAATTAAATTCGGTTTAATTTTGTTCGGACCAGATCGGATCTAGTTCAGTGTACGGTGAATCGAATAGGGTCGGGTCGAGTCATTATTGGATCGGTTGTTTTCTTGTTCGGATCAATATTGGATCAGATCAATATCGGGTCGGGTTAATACCATATAGGTTGATTTTTGGGTCGGGTTAATATCGGATCGGTTGATTTTCGGTTTAGGTTAACCTTTAGATCATGTCAATTCAGGTTGAATTGGTTATGAGTCTAATCAAAATCAAGTATATATATAATAATGATATATACTTATAAAAATATGTCTTCTTATTTGTTAATTTTATCATTTAGGTTAAATTTCAATTCTCAATCATTCAATATTTTAAATTAAACCATCATTTAGAGATGATAAATCGATAATTTGACATAAATACGATCCTATAATACGTGTTAGATTTTGTTATCAAAATTTTATATTGATTTTGTTATCAAAATTTTATATTGATCTCGTACAAAAATTTATAACGAGAACTATTTAATAAATAAATAATTTTTTAGTAAAAATTTTATTTCCAATTATAAATTTAATATTTTATTAAATTTTAAAAAATAATAAATAACTTTATTTGTTAAGTTTTAGTTGTAACATAAGTAAACTTTATATTATTTTTATTATAAATATAATTATTCTTTTGTTTTAGTTATTTTCTATTATTTTATTGTAAATCTAATATTTTTATAACAAGTAAGATAAATAAATTTTATTTATTACTGTTTTTAATCTTACAATTAGATTCTTACTTTTATATTCTTCTTAAACTTTATATTATTTTATTATAAATATAATATTTTTAATAAATTATCAATTTTATTTAAATTAATTTATTATTGAAAATAACTTTTATCGTTTAATAACTTTTATCAATTTCAATATGTTCAAGTTGCTTTCGGGTCGGATTAAATTCGGTTCAGGTTGCTTTCGGATGGGGTTGCTTTCGGTTCGGTTTAATTTCGATTCTGGTTGATTTCAGTTTCGCTAAATTTTGGATCTGGTATAATTCGGATCGGGTATCAGATCAAATTTGATTATCATGTTCGAGTTAATATCGTGTATGGGGTTGGGTAAATAGGTTGAGGTAATCAGATGGTTAAGTTTGTCAGGTCTAAGTAAAATCTAATTATACTATGTAAAATTCTTTTAATTTTATACTTTTTAATACTATTAGATAAAATTAATTAAAGGCTGAGATTATGTGACTACTGATGAATATTAGCTATTTTATTTTTCTCTTGAAGCTTAAGTTACAATTAAGATTTTAAATAACGTTCATTATGACCGTAATTACGGTAAACGAGATATAAAAAAAAGCTACAACGACATCGATTTGAATCCCTGTTACTATCGTTAGCAAGAAGTTGAGAAGTACAAGTTGGGAAGTCCCAAAAACTATCACTATCTTAACCAGTCAAAGTGCTTTGAACTAGTCGGTGTAAGTGATGCCCAAGATTATCTTGCGACACGGAGAGCTATGGATATTGTCGGGGTGGTTCTGCGGTGCGGCGCCTAAAAAACGGCTAATATACGACGTGACCGGTTAAACAAGTGACCGGTTAAAATTTAGACCGGTTATGTTATATTATTTAACCGGAAATATTATAAAGTACAATAACATACTAGGTAGCGCTTATATAATGTAATAGGTAGCGCTTATATTTACCTATTTTATAAGTAAACCGGTATATTTATACCGATAGCATTGCAAATTTACCTATTACATTATATTATATTGAAAGTGTCCATACTTTTTATAAAAAGGATCGATACTTTAACAGTGTTTCATGTTTTCCACCTACAATATTAATTTAATAATTTCATTTGCACAAAAAATTATTTGATTGTTTTGATATTTTATAAAATAATATTTAGAATTTTTAATTTAATAATAATATATATCGTAACGTAAAAATAAATCATTAGACGCCTATAATTACTAAATTAATATCTTAAAACTCACTCAAAAGATAACCTTAAATTAATGTTTTCCACAGTGAAAAAAGTATGGACACTTTTATAAAAAGGATAGACACTTTACAATATAACCACTACCTATTACATTATATAAACGATACCTATTACATTATATAAGGGCTATATACATCATATGTTTACCTATTATATTGAAAGTGTCCATACTTTTTATAAAAAGGATCGATACTTTTTTTAAAACTTATGTAATTTATGTTTCAATTTTTTAACAGTGTTTCATGTTTTCCACCTACAATATTAATTTAATAATTTAATTTGCACAAAAAATTATTTGATTGTTTTATATTTTATAAAATAATATTTAGAATTTTAATTTAATAATAATATATATCGTAACGTAAGAAATAAATCATTAGACGCCTATAATTACTAAATTAATATCTTAAAACTCACTCAAAGGATAACCTTAAGAACACTTGAAGAAGCAAGAGAACAACTATCCAAGCAATCAAAAACGAGAAAATCCCAACATGATAACAACTGAACATATCATATCAATGTTCAAACTCAAGTTGTAGATTTTGATTTCCTTTTGCTTGGCATCATATGAGATTTGGATTTTGATTTCCTTTTGCTTGGCATCATATGAGATTTGGATTTTGATTTCCTTTTGCTTGGCACCATATGAGCTTTGGATTTTGATGAGCATCGGAAGTATTTCAGACTTATGATTTGGGTGGTACTCAACTTATGATTTTAGTTGCTATTTGTTACATTTCTTGTATACCACCCAGATCATGCGCCCGAAACGTTTCTGACGCTTTAAAGTTGACCAAAAAATAAAATGGTCGGGATTTCCCTCGCGTTTATACGTTGGAAAAAAAACAATGGAAATTAGGAATAATCAATGATAACATGCATATTGGCTTGGGCTAATATTTATAGTGGAGCCGAAATATATTGAAATTCAAACTCAAATTGAAATTTAAATTCAAACTCCAATTACATATGAAATGAATTTGAAATGCAGTGTTAAATTGAACATGAAAATTGCATAATTGATTCATACTGTTCAAGTAACATGCTTTATGAACCATCAAGCTAAAAGACAATATTGATTGAGTTCAAAGCTGAGTTGTGAGTTGATGGAGTTGTCACACTTGTCACATGGTTGGAATAAAGTACTCACATGCGAGATAGATTGTTTTGTTATACATAATCCATCTCAACGAAATTAATCCAAATAATGTACCCATAACAATGTTCAATTAATGTACCCACAACAATGTTTAATTGATTTGTTGTTTAATTTTCAATTTGAATTATTTGATTTAATAATTTCATTTGCACAAAAAATTATTTGATTGTTTTGATATTTTATAAAATAATATTTAGAATTTTTAATTTAATAATAATATATATCGTAACGTAAAAAATAAATCATTATACGCCTATAATTACTAAATTAATATCTTAAAACTCACTCAAAAGATAACCTTAAATTAATGTTTTCCACAGTGAAAAAAGTATGGACACTTTTATAAAAAGGATAGACACCTTACAATATAACCACTACCTATTACATTATATAAACGATACCTATTACATTATATAAGGGCTACCTATTACATCATATGTTTACCTATTATATTGAAAGTGTCCATACTTTTATAAAAAGGATCGATACTTTTTTTAAAACTTATGTAATTTATGTTTCAATTTTTTTAACAGTGTTTCATGTTTTCCACCTACAATATTGATTTATAATTTCATTTGCACAAAAAATTATTTGATTGTTTTTATATTTTATAAAATATTATTTAGAATTTTTAATTTAATAATAATATATACCGTAACGTAAAAATAAATCATTAGACGCCTATAATTACTAAATTAATATCTTAAAACTCACTCAAAAGATAACCTTAAATTAATGTTTTCCACAGTGAAAAAAGTATGGACACTTTTATAAAAAGGATAGACACTTTACAATATAACCACTACCTATTACATTATATAAACGATACCTATTACATTATATAAGGGCTACCTATTACATCATATGTTTACCTATTATATTGAAAGTGTCCATACTTTTATAAAAAGGATCGATACTTTTTTTAAAACTTATGTAATTTATGTTTCAATTTTTTAACAGTGTACTGCGAATTTAAAATGATAATATACTTGTAGTTATTGTACATACCTAAATATGTACTGCGAATTTAATGTTGTACCCACCCTTTAACTACCACTACCAATGCCACATCCTATTGAAAGCAGCACGACAGAAACATGTTCAAAATGAACCTTCGTTTACATATCCATCAACTCTTGGAGCACTGAACTTGCACAACAAAATTTTTGCCATGGATAATACTGATGTAGACAATGTTAAGCCAACCGAGGAATGCCATGAAGTACATAATGTTGATGAATCTGACAGATTGGTTGGTCAGCTCTTCTGTTCACGTGATCAAGCTTGGCACTTTTACAAGGGATTCGCACGGGAACATGGGTTTAGTGCACGTAAGGGAACAACACGGCTTGACGTGGAAGGGAATGTGAAGACACAAGAATTTTGTTGTTCCAAAGAAGGGTTTCGAGTATCAAAAGTCAATACTGTTGATCGTCAACGTGCTCATACGCCAGTCACAAGAACAGGATGTAAGGCTAGAGTCGTAGTTACAGCAACAAATACAAACGATCAGTGGGTTATAAGTAAGTCTGATCAGAAACATAATCATGCATTGTGCACATCTGCTATGACACCATTTATGCGTTCTAATCGAGCTGTAAGTAAGGCTGATATCGATGAGGCAACAACATTGAAAGAGGTCGGTGTTGGCACGTCACAAGTAATGAACTATTTAACGCAGCAGGCAGGGGG